AAGTTCTTCATACTCAGGCCAAATTTCTTTAGAAGGAGTACCCATTTGCTTAATTTAGGAAGTTGATGATAGGAATATGACTTGCGGTACCTGATATATCAATTTGATTTGGTCCATTTCACCACGACCGGGAAAAAGTGCTTTCAAAGATTGGAATTCAGCCATTATACAACCTACAGACCACATATCAACTGGTGTTGAATAGATCTGGATAATGGTAAAGACGATTTATTAGCTTAGGGTAGACTTACCTTCTTCCCTAACAGTAACTCAGGAGATCTATACCACAAAGTGACAACAATAGGTGTGTAAGCATTCAAAGGATCACCGTACTCCCGAGCCAATCCAAAATCAGCAATCTGAGATTCAAAAAGTATCAATTCACTCAATCCCATAACCGAACCTTTAATACTCCTTTGTGTGATAGAAGTAAGTTAGAGGTTTTCAAATCTCGATGTAATATCCATAAGTGGTGCATATGCGCTAATCCCGATAATAATTGCCTCATCAATGTCTTCTGTTCACCTCAAAATAACTAATATGAGACGATCACGTAGTAGAATGAGAACCTATTGAGAACCGTTTCCCTTTCTTGGACATGGTGTCCATCAAAGTTTTGAGATCGTGTTCTACAAACTCCATGGCCACAAAAATTTTATCCATGCTGCTTCCAATAAGAATTTCTTTAATCTGGAGGAAATATGTGAAGGTCGGAAATGTCATTTGAACATACATTGACGATGTTATCATGACTGCCAGCTTTCAACAACATGTTAATTTCTCTCAGAGAAGTAATCGGGAAACCTTCCCGTTCCTTTTCCATCTTCAATCGTTTCAATGCAACGATTTCATCTGATGAATGATTCATACCTACATTTACTAGAACGAGAATAAGTTTTACCTGTTCTCTTATCTTTGGCTCTGAAAACAACTCCAAATGTGCCCTCTTGCACTCTATTAACACATTCAAACTCTTGGACATTTCGACAACCCATCACGCCTGGATGTTACAATTGAATACAAGCTATCGAATCTTTGCTATACCAGGATAAAAAACTGGAAGTGCAGCTACTATACGACTCTGATGATCCGACTCTAACCTTTGTCTCGAATCGGGAGATAACTATAAGAATGATTCTCATGACTTAATTCATCATGTAACTCACTCTTGCTCTTTGTTCATCCGTAAGATCTTCATACTTGGCTGTTTTTGGATCAAAGTCGAGAACATGCTGAACTTCCTCTTCCTCTTCATTATCACTATATGAGAAGCCAGCTAAAAAAAGGTAATAAATGAGAAAAACGTAAGCGTTACCTTCACTACGATCTGGAGACGGCAACTCGTCAGGTTCAGGGCTACTATCAAACTTTGAATACTTTTTAGGGCCTGTCACACTGTCAAGTACAAAAGATGTTATTTCTTAAAGACAGGTTAAACCACATAGATCAGAGCATACCCATTTTATTCTCCTCCTCATCGGATTC